CGGGGGGGTGCTATTGTCTGAAGTGTCTTTAGGCCATTCCAAAAGGGGGGACATTAATGATTAACTTGTTTTAGGCACTGTAGAATTGTAAAAGGGCTGATTTATCAATGTTATGCTCATAGGTGTGCCAGAACTGCAACAAGGAACTGCTGCTTTTTCTTTCCTAATCCTTACTATCGTCATTTTTTCTCCACTTCTTTTGTATTTTTTTCACACTCTTCTGACCCGCTATTTCTGGATTGCCTTGATAGTCGAAGCGGACTTTGTGCTATTGAAGCTAGAGAGGTGAGCAGAGTAAGCCTGATTCCCTTTAAAGACTTGATCTCTGTTGACATCCCCCCCCCCTCGGCGCTCATATGACCTTATGCAGTTGTCAGCGCCGTAAAACCTCTACTAAAACAAAGGTCTAGTTTTCTAAATGTAAACACGCCCCAGTCGAAATGTTTTCCCTCAGCTTGCAGAAAGTAATATGGAATCTGAGTTCGAGTGAAAAGAATTGCACTAACACAACAACGATCATTTAGAGCTGAGAAAAGTGTAATGTGTAAATGATGCTATTGCTATGTTATGTAAAAATGGGAATGAACTATGTTGCGAATGTTGAAAGAACGATTCTTAAATATCTCAATTATTTCTCCATCTTGATACGTCACACATCGTCTCGTTTTGAATTCACACGAGATTTCAGTGTAAAATAAACAACAATTAAATCAGTTCACCAGGAGGTAGGCAAGAGAGCCGTTGTGTGTTTTCGTCTTCTTTTTCAAGTATTAGTCTTTTTATAATGTGAGGCCATATGCAGCCGTCACAAAAAGTAAGACAGATGATAGAAAGATAGAAACCACAGAAGGACGATAGTGAAGTAGGAGTTACCCTGACACCATCCAACGATTTGCCTTTCATTAATTGATTATTGCCAGGTCGCTACCCTAGAATTAAAAAGTTCTACCTGCTTAGTACCTACTTTTGAGAAATTTGACGTTAAAAGTTTTGAATTTCACAACATGTCAAGCTTTTTCGAATGCAGTTCTTTGAATATCTTGATAACGACTCCAAATAATCTTACGATTTTGATAAAGCAGATAGAAAGAACATTTGGTTTCTGACCTCATGGTCTTATTAACTCAACACAGCCCCCCCCCCCCAAAAAAATGACAGATAGAACTCTGTAATTTCAAGGTAGCATATTCATATATGTGGGTTTTAAGGGGGGGGGGGTATTTATTTATTTTTTGCTGTTGTTGCTAATGTTAACCATTAGGACATGAACTACTTCACGCCAGTTGGGATTGCAAATTATGTACAAACAGGCCTGAGATCATTTCAAAATTAGGAGAAATTAGCCAACAAATCACCAGTCAGAGAACATACTGAATTTTTTTTTTAAATAAGCGATTCGATCACCTGAATCCGATGTCCCCCCTTATGGATTCTAACTCCATTCCTTTATAATTCCTTTATTTTTACCATATATTACAATCAGAGCAAAAGATTCCCCCCCCCCCAAAAAAAAACAACCATACACGCATACAAAAAAAAAAGAAAAAAAAAAAAAAGCTGCCTGGGTGCTCAACGTAAAAGAATCAGACTAGAAGGTAGATAGAGCCCAGCGAAAAACTTGTCTGAGAGGCGTAAAAGCGGTCCTCCAACAAAAAACTTCCACCTAGTCCATGATCGGAAATTGCAATTCCCCTCAATATCTAACGATACAAGAGGAAGGAAAACAGTAAAAGGGTTAAAAAGAGATAAATCGTCTACCAGAAGAGGAATTGTGGAAACCAAGTATTCCCCTTTGAGACAACA